ATGGAACAACTGATTGGTTCAAAATTGGGAAAGGAGTACGGCAAGGCTGTATATTGTCCCCCAGCTTATTTAACTTATATGCAGAATACATCATGTGGAAGGCTGGACTGGAAGAAACCCAAGCCGGAATTAAGATTGCCGGAAGAAATATCAACAACCTCCGATATGCAGATGATACCACTCTGATGGCAGAAAGTGAGGAGGAATTAAAGAACCTTGTAATGAGAGTGAAAGAGGAGAGTGCAAAAAATGGTCTGAAACTCAACATCAAAAAAACTAAGATCATGGCCACTGGTCCCATCACCTCCTGGGAAATAGAAGGGGAAGATATGGAGGCAGTGTCAAATTTTATCTTCCTGGGCTCCATGATTACTTCAGATGGAGACAGCAGCCCTGAAATTAAAAGGCGCCTTCTTCTTGGGAGGAAAGCGATGACAAATCTTGACAGCATCTTGAAAAGCAGAGACATCACCTTGCCAACAAAAGTCCGAATAGTCAAAGCTATGGTTTTTCCTGTTGTGATGTATGGAAGTGAGAGCTGGACCATAAAGAAAGCAGACCGCCGGAGAATTGATGCCTTTGAATTGTGGTGCTGGAGGAGGCTCTTGAGAATCCCCTGGACTGCAATGAGAACAAACCTATCAGTTCTAAAGGAAATCAACCCTGAATGCTCACTTGAAGGACAGATCCTGAAGCTGAGGCTCCAGTACTTTGGCCATCTCATGAGAAGAAAAGAGTCCTTGGAAAAAACCTTGATGTTAGGAAGGTGTGATGGCAAGAGGAGAAGGGGACGACCGAGGATGAGATGGCTGGACAGTGTCTGCGAAGCAACCAACATGAACCTGACACAACTCCGGGAGGCAGTAGAAGACAGGAGGGCCTGGCGTGCTCTGGTCCATGGGGTCACAAAGAGTCGGACACGACTAAACGACTAAACACACACACACAGTGAGTGCCCTAGTGTCACAATCCCGCTCCCATATGTACTCTATAGGTATGTGTTCCTGCACCAATACGTAGAAAGTATATTAAAAAAATCTCAGTATCCCTCTGGGATCCAGAGTAGTAATTTCAAATGTACGTTTAGTAGAGTAACTAGCAAAACATAGAAAAATGAAAGATTGGCGTGACGTTTCCACGTCTGCTTTCGGTGCGCACATTCATACAGGGCCTTTCCCTCCCTGAAATTACGCGTCGCAGTCCATCCAGGGAAGGTGGCTGGCTAGAGTTCACGAACCACGATAAAAGGAAGACGTTTCAAGCGCCACGGGACATTCCACAGTTTTTCTCTCCAAGTCAGAGAAGGGTCGTTCCTTCGCGTCGGGCAGCGGCTGTGCAACGATTGGCTGTTTCTCCCCCTCCTCCGACACCCGAGTGGCCAGCCGGGACACACCCACCGCGGTGCTGATTGGTGAAGGCGGCTGTAGGGGCGCCCTCGCGTGGGTTGGGGGGGGAACAGAGATGGCGGCTTCCGCGGTGGTGAGGAGAGGGGTCTCGGGCTGGGCCCGGCGTCGCCTCTTGGCTGGAGTGCTGCAGCTGCGCCGAGGGTGCGCCGGTCTCGCCGTCGACGATACGGTTAATGGGCTGAGCGAGGAGCAGCAGCAGGTACGGCAGCCGGAGCCCGGAGTGACTTTAACGGGAGGCCGCCCCGTGGCCGCCCCCCCCTCCCCGGTCGCCCATGGGAACTGCCGGCCGCCTTTCTCCGTGGAGCCCCGCGCTGATTGGTGAAGGCGGCTGTAGGGGCGCCCTCGCGTGGGTTGGGGGGGGAACAGAGATGGCGGCTTCCGCGGTGGTGAGGAGAGGGGTCTCGGGCTGGGCCCGGCGTCGCCTCTTGGCTGGAGTGCTGCAGCTGCGCCGAGGGTGCGCCGGTCTCGCCGTCGACGATACGGTTAATGGGCTGAGCGAGGAGCAGCAGCAGGTACGGCAGCCGGAGCCCGGAGTGACTTTAACGGGAGGCCGCCCCGTGGCCGCTGCCCCCCCTCCCCGGTCGCCCATGGGAAGTGCCGGCCGCCTTTCTCCGTGCAGCCCCGCGAAGCTTGTTGCGAAGGGCCCCGCTCAGTGCTCTTCCCTTGGAGGCTCTCAGGGGCCGTTTGCGGCTTTTCCCGGAAGAGCTCTCGTCTCCGGTGGGACTCGGACCTGTGTCGCCTACCGGGACCCCGGGCTGGAGTCTGGACGGAGTCGTGACCCACCCCCCCACCAAAGACGCCGAAGGGCGATGGCGAAAGCGGCGGTGCTGGCGTGGCGCCCACGGGCCCGGCTGAGCCTCAGGGTGTTGCGCGCCGCCGCTCTTAGGAGGGACGGTCGTAACATATAAACCAAGGAACGGCCGGCCCTCTTTTCCTCCTTGTTCCCTGCTTATTCAGCAAAAGGGGGCTGGCTGGGGTTTGTGTGTGTGTGTGTGGAAACTAGGAGGGAGAGTTTGGGAATATGACTTTAGGAGACTCTCGTGGCCCCGGTGGCCTGGGGATTCTGGGAGTTGTATTCCCAAACTTTTTCCCAAGCTCAGGTTTCCAACCCGTGGCTGGAGCGGAAGGAACAGCTCCCTCTTCTAGTTACTTACCTGAATTCTGCCTCAGCAACACAGTTGTAAGGTTCCCCTCCTCAAAAACCACACACATACTGTACAAAGGAAGCCTCAGCGGTGCCTTCCAAGAGCACTTTTCCCTGCGAAATCCTTCGTCCACAGGTTGGGGGGGGGGCAAAGGGAGCAAGCCTCAGAGACAGCCAGGAAAAAGGCCCGAAAAGAAGTCACGCGGTCTCTGCATCTTCATTTGCTTTTTTATTCTCTCACTGAGGGAAGTGAAGGATTCCATTTTTTGGGTCTCATCCCCTTTTTGTTGACGAACAGAGCCTATAGGCAAGGGAAGGAATGAGGCAGATGATGTTTCTTTACTTGAACGTGAAAGTGCCAAAGCAGAACTACGGTTGGGTGTCATCTACATATCCTAAATTATTGGTGCTGCTTCCACCAAATTCCAGAAAGTGCCAAAGCAGAACTACGGTTGGGTAAAATCATTGTTGCTTTCCGCCCCTAAGATGGTGTCATCTACATATCCTAAATTATTGATGCTGCTTCCACCAAATTCCGTTCCTCCTTTTATCTGAATCTAGTCCAGCTTTCCATATATGTTCTGCCTATAGACTGAACACAAAGTTAAAAAGTGCCCTTCTTCCAGCTTTCCATATGATATGTTCTGCCTATAGACTGAACACAATGTTAAAATGTGCCCTTCTCTGAGACCTTTGCCTACAGGAAACCATTCTGTCTCTTCATATTCTGCATTAACAATAGCTTCTTGTCTACAATAGAGGTTGTGCATCAGGACAATGAAGTGATAAGGCACACCCATTTCTTTTAGAACATCCATAGCCTGTCATCCACATAGTCCAAGGTTTGCTGTAGTCTATAAAGCTTAGACTGATCTTCTCAAATTTTTAATGAGCTCCAGTAGCCATAGCCAATGGATATTTGCAATATGATCTCAAGAAACTTCCTTTTTTGAATCCAGCTTGAAAATCAGATATTTCTTGGTCTGTATAAGGCAAACGTATTTGTTTCAACACATTGAACATCACTTTGCTTGCATGGGAAATTATAATAATGGACCTATAGTTACCTCTATCCTTGGCATCTCCTTTCTTGGGGTTTGAAATGTATGTTGACTGTTTCCAGTCTGTGGGCCATTGTTTTGTTTTGTTTTTTCCATATTGGGTGCCATATTCTGGTTGGAATTTTGATAGATTTGTCTCTGTGGCTTGAAATAATGTCAGTATCCCATCTACACCTGATTACTTTTCTTCCCAGTGCTTTCAGAGCAGCTTTCCCTTCACTTTCTAGAACTGCAGGTTTATCATAGGATTTCTCTTCAAATGAGTCTTTCATCCTTTTTCCTTTTCTATACAGGTCTTCAGTATACTGTTCCCACCTCCTCTTTATTTTAGGCTGGTCAGATAGTGTGCTTCCCTGTTGGTGTTTCAGCATTCCTAATCTAGCCTTAAATTTTCCTTGGATTTATTGGATCTTTCGGAAGAGATCTCTTATTTTTCCTCTCTTTTTTAGTTCTCATCTATTTCTTTGTACTGGTTATTATATAGGTGCATAATATTGTAGCAGAGCACATCAACATTCTACAACGTAATTATAAAAATGGAGCAGGCCAAACCAAAACTTGTAACTTTTAAACAGTACCAAATTTGGCACAAATATACAGTAGTAGACTGTCTGTTCTTAATCTGTGCCAAATTTTGGGAAGTTTGAGCAAACAGGGTTTTAGTTACCAGGGTATGTTTTTTTTAAATGTAAAACTGTCCCCACCATACAGAAACAAGCAACCCTAAATGTCCACAGATTTAAAATAATTTTTGAAAAGATCAGTCTTGCTTATTTTGAAAGACAATGGTTGGTTTCACCACCTTTTTTTAAATTTTGGGAAGAATCCAAGCTGCAAGGCTGAAATATTCATCCTCAAAAAACACATTTCAAAGGGGAAAACAGTGACTTTGTTATAAAATGAGCATGTGTAGAACAGGCATACCAGCAAGAGTGTTTCATATTAGACATACAGTGGACCCTCGACTTACAGATGGCTCGACTTACAGACTTTTTGAGTTACAGACTTCTCTGGCTGCAAAATTTAGGATTGACTTGCAGCCAGAGAATTGACCTACAGACCAGAAAAAAACCAAAATGGAACAAAAACGGCTGGTTACGGGATTAATCGGTTTTCAATGCATTGTAGGTCAACGGAGACTCGACCTACAGACTTTTCGACCTGCCGCCACCGTTCCAATACAGATTAATTCCATAAGTAGAGGGTCCACTGTACTGTTGTAGTTTCTGCACTGAAAGACTGTCAGGAAATGGTGTCAAACGTAGGGTCCCGAGATGTTCTTGGACTAAAATTCCCAGAAGCCTTCACCACTAGCTGTGCTGGCCAGGATTTTTGGGAGTTGTAGTCCAAAAACATCTGAGGACGCAAGGTTGGGATGAAAGGTCATAGAAACAAAGGTCACAGAGACAAGAGTCAAAAGTCAGGTTTTCTTTAAAGAGTGAAAAATAAAAACAGTCTTTTAAAAAAGTAATGGAGTGACAATCTTCCACAAAGGGACATTTTGCCAAGGTTATCCAGGGAATTAGCATATAATTTTGTAAGGCATATTCAGAGTACTTCCACATTACAAAAGCACAGAGCAGTTGTGTTTGGCCCAGCCTAGAATGCTTTCATTTAACAATCTTATAGGATTTCTGAAACCAGGTTCCTGACAAAAGTCTTTAAAGAGGAAATCAAGTCCTGGTCTGGGGCAGTCTGAACTTTAGATTCTGTCAGGACCCAATTAGCTGACTCTCAGGGGGAGAACTTTTAAACTCCTTCCTGACCAAATGTTATTACAAAGGATTTTGTGTCTGGTTGTAAGAATGTTTTAACATAAATTTAAAAAAAAATAGAGAACATATATTCAGAAGCTTACTCATTTAGGCTGCAAAATTACTGTTTTTTAGAGTTTAATGCGTTCCTATGGGTTCCCCCCCCTGCATAGCGAAGAATCCAGATAGCGACGTTACTCCTGGAACAGATTAACATCGCTATGCGGGGCACCACTGTATTTGTTTTTCCATTGTATGTGTTGTACCTACTCATGCCTTTGCTTCACGATTTCATTAAGTCCAAAAACAACCCTTCAAAATCTTTTGGTACAGGGGGACTACAGCCGCATCCCAGCTCTTCTTGCTTCTGTCCTCTTCTGGCAATCATAGTACAGATCATGTGTTCACCTTCTGGGATCAGCTAGAACTGGGTAATTTTAGGTGAGGGAATTTGGAATTTGTGTGTTGTGTATGTGCAGTGGTGCCCTGCATTACGATGACCCCGCTTGAAAGCACTTGACGACGGCTTTTTGCGATCGCTACAGTGTTTGCAAAATGATGGTTGCAATGGGGCTTTTTGGCTATACGACCACCTGCGCCCAGCTTTAGAGCACTTTGGAGGCTTTTCCTGCACCGTCAGAGGACTGGCAGGGGACCTCCAAAGCCGGCAATCGCGGCGAGGGCCCCCCCATCAGTCCTCCCATGGTGCTTCCCCAGCTCCCTAACCCTTATGAGCCTTCAAAAAAATTTTTCCCTTAGGAACGCGTTAATTAATTTTCAGTGCATCCCTATGGGAAATTTGGTTTCATAAGACAATGTTTTCACAAGACAGTGATTTCCATGGAACGGATTAACATCGTCTTGCGAGGCACCACTGTATACTTAAACTTCAGTTTTAAAAAGCCAGGAAATTTAATTCTTTGAAGAACCCCTGGCTTATGACTTTGGGATATTGTGCTTCTGTATCTATGATTTAAAACACCAGCAAATGGCCCAGCATTGCTGCATAGTATCATGCCCGCATTGCCAGCAGGAAAAAGGATGCCAAGCTTTACATAGCAAAGGGCAGCCTGAATGTTGACAACATCAATGACAGCAGTCAAGATGGTCTCCAGCAGTGGTCTCCAACCTTTTAAACTCCACGGACCGGTTGGAAAAGTTGGGGCACTCCCCGCGCTTGTGCGCATGTGCAAAGGAGCGGGCTCTCTCGTGTGTGTGTGTGTGTGCTCATGCGTATGCGCAAAGGGGTGGAAGGGCGCTCATGTGGAGGGGCGTGCTCGTTGCGCATGCGCAAAGGTCAGCGCAGCGTTTGAGGGCACTCATGCGCATGACCGAATGTGTGGAGGAGTGCTTGTGTAGGTGCAGGTGTGCATGCATGTGTGCAAAGGGGCTGTGCAGGGGGAGGTTGGGCGGGGGGGGTTCTGTCTCCACAGCCTGGTCCGGCTCAGGCCACAGACTGGCACCAGGCCGCCAATGGGGGTTGGGGACCTCTGGTCTACAGGATACCATCTTCTGCTCACACTTTGTGAAAACATTTATGTGTCTGAAGAAGT